AACTGGGTTTCCAGTTGCTCCCACGACGCTATTGAGCGTGGAGGCAGGGAGGAATACTGGGTTAAGGATGGACCTGCGAGGGTGGCTACTAAGGTTTTGCACATCAAGCCCTCGGAGGATTCGTACAACATTAAATTAGCCTTCAATGCCTCGATATGGTCGACGGGATCAGTTTTCCATCGTACTTATCAAGCTGAGGTGCCCGCCATCCTGTGGGAGGTGCGTCGTCCACAATTTCCTGGGTGAAGGGTGGTTTTTTGGCCGTGGGCACGGTCGGTGGTGTTGTGCTCTAGCTCTTCTAAGCATTGTCGGAGTTCCCGAATCTCGTCATCCCTTTGGTCCTGGTCCGCAGTGTGCATTTCCCTTTCCTTCTTAGGGCACGTGGCACGGTCTTTCACAGAGCTAGACTCAGCGACGGAGACCACGTCAGGTGGCATTCGTTTGCCAAGTCTTTCCTTTGCAGGGATCCGTGTGGTTTGGTGTGTCTTGTTATGAGAGCGGATGGAAGGGGCCGACCTTCTTGTTGTATCTTGCTTTTCTTGGTTGGACCGCGCTATGCCCTTGTCTGCTTGGTGTGCTTTGGGGTCTTTGAGGTGAGGATCATCCTTCGTGCGTGTCGGTGCACATGGGGGTGCACGAACTGAGTGCACCAACGCGTGCGAAGGATGATGTTGCCTTTGGTAAAGGCTTTTTGTGCGGTTCCCACAGATGGTGCCAATCTGATGCTGCTCAATCTGAGGTGGTGCACGAATTGAGGAGAGCAACCAGATAGTTCTTTGCTGGCAGAGCGGGGCCGAGCTACAAGGATGAGGCCACTCCTCAAGACCTGTGATCAAGGAAGTAGAAATCAGAGGCTTGAGGAGTTATCACCGGGTAACTACTCCGACGCTCAAGTCAGTAGGGGTGGTAGATAGTTGGGCCGAGCTATAAGGATGCTAGTCCGAGCTAAGTAGCAGTACGGGTGTTAGAAGTTAGATCCCTTACCTCGAGCATAGACTACCTTTTTATAGCTGAGGATCAGTGTCCTAGTCGGATTAGGCTTCTAGAGTTGTCGGGATGAGGTTAGCCATCGTGGTTTTCGGGATAGAGTCCTGTTCCCCAGTGGAGTCGTCTTCCTTATTCCTCATTATCCGTAGTCGTGCTCATCCGTGCGACGTATAGTTGACGTGGCTGGAAGGATAAGATGGGGGGCCACAGTAATAACGTAGCTCAGCCAAACTAGGCCGATATGGCCAAGCTATGCCAATGTGGCCAAGCTAGGATGATGTAGCAGGGCAGCGATGGCTGAGCGGCCATGTATCTCGCAAGGCCAGCTCAGCCATGTGTGCTGTATAAATGCAAATACGTAGAGTGAAAATCCTTATGTGCTGTATTATTTTGTATGTATTTTCACTGTAAATATTTGTGTTTGTACTCTTTCTCAAATGAGTATAAATGACTTTATATATTTCCATACATTCAAGCTACTAAATAAATGGGCAGAGATAAATCAAATTAGATATATGGGCTGGAGTTAACAGGTCAAATCAAATTAGATATATTGAAGATCAATTCTTTTCTGAAGAATAAAGAAAATAAAATTATTAAAAACAGAAAATAGAGAAAAATATACAATATGGTCCAAGCGATCTGAACCCAGCTCAAACAAAACAGAACACACCCACAAACTAACACCAGAGAATTGCCAGAAAACCGCCAAATTTACAAAAAAAAAAGAATCCCTTTTCCTCTCGAGACGAAGGTTTACTCTCTATTTGCTTTGAATTGCAGCCATACATCGCCATTTTATATTGTGAGATATAGACCTGTTCATGGGCCAAGTAGCCCGATGGCCCGGCCCCCATCCCAGTTGGGCTTGGTCATGTAATTAGGCCCGTGGGCCTAATACAGTAAGCCCGATTGTGTTATGGGCCGGGCTCGGGATTTGTCAAAAAAGCCCAATCCGACCCGATTCAGCATTATATATTTTATAAAATACATATTATGTATTTTATATATTATATAAAATATATAAATAATATAATATTTATTGAAATATATATTTATAATTTAATATATACATTTTTTTATTTTTTTCTTTATAATTCCTCTCTCACTCTCTCTCTCTCTCTCTCTCTCTGTCTTTATTCAGCCTTTTCAGCAATAGTAACAACATGGGATAAATTTTGAGCTCGGGCCCAGGCCCGGACTTCGGGCTTTTTATGAGGGCTGGGCTCTGACCCAAGTTGTAGGCCTGATGGTCGGGCCGGGCTCGGACTCAGGCCTTAGAAAAATCTGTTAATACAGAACAAAAACCCGGCCCGGCCCGATCCATGAACAGGTCTAGTGAGATATGCAGCTGCTGCAATACACAATGGGAAGAGTGCGGGTAGAGAAAGTGAGTAGTAAATCTGGGTTCACCCTAATCACTCTCTCAATGATTCTAACTCTTCTCCCTGGAAATTACTGACCAAAGACCTCCTCTTGAGTTAAGTGCAAAGCAATAGCACCACCAAAGCACTAACACAGACTTAGCCCGATGATCTTTCCCTTCCTTCTCTTCTCCTTTACTTCTAACCTCCAATCGAAGATCAAATTTGATGCTGAATATTCCAAGCAAAATCAAATCTTATCTCTGGGATTTAGATTATAGGTTTGGATATTAAATACTATTAATAACTTAAACACTTTAATGTTTGGAATGTTTATCATGAACCACCTAACTAAAAAATAATGAGTCCTGCCAAAAAACCCAACCTGTGAACCCGATCCAATCCAATCTGGAAAAGTAGGATTAGGGTCTCATATTTAGTTATCTGAGGTCTTGAATTTGAGAATGACCCAATTGGACCCGGAAAAAACTGGGTTGGGTCATGGGTCAATCTACTGACCTGATTGTCAATTTGTCATGTTTAATTAGGATTATTTATATAGTGTTAGAAGTTTTCACTCTTTAATCTTTATTTTTTAAATTGTTAAATATTTATGTTTTTTATTTTATTTTTAGAATTTTAAGATTAATTTCTTTAATTTTGACATTTTTCATGTATTTTTTTCTTTATTTTTTAAAATGACCTGAATTGACCCATAGATCAACCCTAATCCATTCATTTAAGGTTAGGATTAAGAATTTGCCAACCCAACTCGAAAACCCACCCGACCCAAAATCAACTCAAAATGTCTTTAACCCAACCCGAACCCGACCCACCCAATCCAATTGCCAGGCCAAATAGTCTGCCACCAAAAAGCTAGAATGTATTACTTCTGATATTAAAGTTTCAATCCATAGCGTATGGACTTTGGACTTTTCCATCCAGAAATCAATTCACGATTGGGATGCAAGAATTACTGAGAAGTTTACTTTCTCCGGTCTTCTGGAAAATATAATTTCTTGGTGCAATTTTCCAGAAAATAATGACCATCTAACTTTCCACTTTTCAAATGATAGATTTATGACAAATTATCAACACTGCATTGCCCAGCAGCCAGTGTAGACTTCAGGGACTGTTTCCATCCGTTGATCACCCTGACAACACGCGCCAAAACAAATAGTCAACCGTCAGATTGGAATAAACTAACACAATTCGATCAAATTTCAGATTTGAATGGGCATAAGGATACATGGGCACGTGGGCCTGGAATCAAAACTCCCCATAAAGCTAACACGTATAGATGAAGATTGGGAAATGGCAACTTCCACGCACGTTCTTCATGGGTCTCTTATTTTGGGTATCTGGTATATATATTCATAGCTGAGTGGTCAACGATTGAGGTTCTGGATTGTAATTTATAGTGGTTTTGTTAGGTTTACGTTCTCTACATGCTTTCAATATATTTGGTTAGTCTAATTATTAAATTAAACAAATAAGAATATGAGATATTAAGATTGTGTTTGATTTGAAAGAAAAGGAAGAGAAAAAATAAGAAAAACTTTACAGATTTTGTATAGATTTTTTTACCTTTTCCTTCAAACCAAACATAATCTAAGTGGATTCATTTTTTTTTACTGCCTTACATAGAAAAAATATCAGGTAGGCACAGCATTATAAACACATCCAATGAGTATTTAGAAAATTTTTTGACATCTGTCCCTTAAAATATACCCTTAACCTACACTTAAAAAGTATTAAAAATAGCTATTGATAGTTATGAGAATATTTAGAAAGTGCTTATTATGCTGTGCATACTTGATCCCAATTACTTAATTTGATTGAAAATTAAATGCCTCCATCAAATTCATTCCTTGGAATTTTTAACTTTGACTGAAAATGAGAAATGGCTAAAATCAGTGACCACAGTCCACAGGTTGTCTGCTGATCTTAGTTGCCTAGACTAGTTAGGTTCCACATTAATTAGTTCATGTAATTCCTGATACTGTTATATTTCCTTTATCGTTGTTATGATGAGCTTGTTATTCATTGGTAGTACTTCTGAGTAATTTATTTCGCAAATCATAGTCAAATTAAGTAAGTAGATTAATAATGTCATTCGCCTAATTAACTTAAGTTTGTAGAATTGATTTGCAGTGAATCAAGGCGGGTTTGATGATCTAAGGTAAATCAATCCATGAATCTAAAGTGGCTAAATGGATAACTCAGCCACTATGTGCTAGCTAGCTCTCAAATATGTAATGGAGAATATCTACAAAATCATCTCGGCTCAGTTTGAAAAAAGTATAAATACAAATACATATAAAATGATTATATTTATATTTATACTCCTTCCAAACCGAAACTTCATTTCAGGTTTTGTTTAGCTTATATAATTAATTAATTCAAACTTCTTATTTTGTTCTGCCTTATTATTATTATTATTATAATAATAAATAAATGGGCATTTGCTTACATCTTGATTGATTCAGAAGTCCCAAAATAAATGGTATCCTCTCGCCTTCTGTTTGGCACAGAACCCAGAAAGCAAAATAACCGACAAATGCCGTTCCATGATCAGCTTTGTTGCATACTTGCATTTACAGTACTATAAATAGTATATTTTGATTTCTCTAATAGTTGAAGGGTACAAGTCAGATCTCATAGATTAATGCGTGGACAATCACATGGTCTAATAATTTCCATAAACAAATTAAACAAAGATAAGCTGTCCTGATAACAAGAACAATATAAATGAGAACGGACGATCCATTCATATTTCATTTCAATGGCAATTTTTTTTTTTTTTAATCTAAACGCCTCTTCGTGATTTTTTTTTTCCCGATAAGCCGTCTCTTCGGGATTTGAAGGGATAGATGGGGTGCCATAAACAACAAAAACAACTTGAGATTGATGAAAGCTCAACCCAGCCTTAATCCCTTGATCCCGACTATTATTTAATTACATTTATCAACTTCAAACAGACAGAGACTCAGAGAGAGAAGACTATAGCTGAATGATGACGTGAATCAATTTAGTCTAGTCTAGCTGGTCAAAAGATTCCTTAAGCGAGGATGAGTTTCTAAGCCGGTGCAGTTTGCAAGCTAGTTCTTGCAGTCTTGCTTTCAACAAAGCTGGAGATCTATCCAACCCATCGCAAATCTGTAATCAAAATAGAAAAAGAAATGAAAACCCAGTTCATATAGTTAGAAAAAGTTTAATGGGTAACGACCTTGATAAATGCATCATCATGTTCATAGAATCAAAAACAAAAGAACATAACAAATTAAATCCTGGGTAGCAGCACAGACCTTGCTTTCAGAATGATGAAGTATTTTGTTTCCATCACGACAATGGGTAGATCGGATAAGCTCAAGTTGATGAGCTTCGAGCTCATCGAAGATGGCAGATAGTAAGAATGCCTTTGAATTACCCCTGGTATCGGACAGAGAAACGTTGACGCGGTCCCCTCGTATACGAATGGCCACAGAGGAGGAAGACTCGGGAGCGACTCGGATGTCGCAGTCTGTAGAGTTGGGCGAGGTCGAGTTACGGTCGGAGACAAGAACAGTCGGCGAGGCCTTGGAGATGCCGGAGCTGGAGGGAGAATCCCCTCGGTTCTGAAGTGAGCGAAGGCGAGCAGCAGCTAAGGGGATGTATTTGATTATCTCGTCAAGGATGGCCGACTGTTCTTTCCGGACTGTGTTGGCGTGAGGGAGGAGAGCATGGAGAGATAGGAAGAGCTCTCGCATGGACTTACGGCGTTCACGTTCGGCGAGCTTGTGGCGCTCCCGAGCATCGACGCCACCGCTGGGCTTGCCGTCTGATCCGGCTGCGCCACAATCGCTCCATTCAGGTGTCATGGTCTGCTGGTTTTCGTTTTCTTTTGTCGTAGGCACTGGCTCAGATGCAGTATTGGTGCTACTGGCTGAGAGGCCTGGCTTCACTTTCTTTCACCCCTTATTGGCTGTGGCTGCCTCCCTCTTTTGTATGTGAATTTTGACTCAACGACCCAATCCAATGTATGAGGTCTATTGGAGGGTCTAGAAACACCTAGAATTTGATGGGTATGGTAGATCGGGTCGAATCCGGGATTGGAGCTAGGATATCCAAATCTTAATTGGATGGTTATTGATAGTGCGTAATCCGGCCGGTTCTACCTGTCAACGACCTTGCCTCTGAACGGAACTACTGGGAACCTAAAACAGAGAAGATGAGGAAACTCCGGGGGGAACCCGGTGAGATTGCTCCGAAGCTCAAGTTAGAATTCTCTCAAAGGCAAGATAGAACCAGATGGCGCAAAGTTCACATACCTCGTTCTTGGGGGGCAGGGAGCCTTTTATAACCACCTCGCGCACTCACTCCTAAGCTTCTGTCAGGTCGGGTATGATTATCTCTGCGCTCTTGCCAGTTCGGGTGTCATCACCTCTACTGGGACAGAACCGCCACTGCTCTCTTTGTCAGAGCCGTCTCTGCAATTGGAGATGGCGGTAGCAGGTGGCAGTGGCAAGTGGCCATTGGAGTGCGGCTCTCAAGCGTCAGATCCCAAGTCAGTCAGGTGCGCCGCCCCTGGGTACGGACTTCMTCGGTGTCAGGCGTGGTACGATTGTTCAGTTTGGCGTCCTGGAGGCGAAGTGCTGGAGTGGTGAACGAGGTGAAGTCTTGAGTTTGGATAGAGGTGTGTCCCGAACTGTCATGGGGCAGGCCAGTTCGGGTCGTTGCCCTTTGTGCTTGTAAGGCTCGGGGCTCAAGGGAGAGCTCAGGCTCCTTACGGGAAGTTCGGGCTCCTTGTAGGGAGTTCGGACCGCTGGTTCCTCTAGGAGCTCACGTCTTGGGCGTGCTGTCATGCCGAGCTGTTGTCTTTGCCACGTGTTGAGTGATTACGAGGTCAGGCCAAATCTTCCTATATCAATTGCTCCCCACTCCTCGTGTTTAAGGGACTTGCCTTGGCGCGAGGAGTCGCGAGGTGGTAGGTGGATTTGTCTCGTACTTCGAACTGGTTTTGATTGATAGCACGAGGTGTTCGTCCGGATTTTTCCGGGTTTATCGAGCGCCAAAGAGACGGAAAAAGCGCCAATCTGTCCAAAAATGCTGACAGACGTGGCGGCACGCGCTTATTTCAAACTTCAAAAAAGCGCGCCGCTAGGAGACGTGACAGCGGGTCTTTTCAAATTTGAAAAAACGCGCCGCTGTCGCCTTTAATGCGAGGAGACGTGCGCTGGCGTTCTATCAGTTTCAGAAAGACATGCGCCAACCGCGTCTCGGTCTCAGGGCACGTGCGGTCAGCGCGATTGCGGGCCGTCGGGTTGGCTTTGATCTGAACCATTGATTCTCGGTTATTGTGGGTATAAATAGTGGGGGTCCCCAGTTGCTTTGTCACTTCTGCGCTATTTCTTGAGCTCGCGTCCAAGTTTCAGCTCGCATCCAGGCTTTTAATTCGCACTCAAGATTTTAGCTCGTGTTTCAAGTTTCCGCAGTCTGTTCAAGCCTTTTTCCGGGTGAGTACTTTCCTAGAATCCATCTTCTCCTCCCGATGTCTAGCTCGGATAGCTCAGACAGTTCTTCAAGGGGGTCCGATGCAGGTTCTACGAACTGAGTTGCATCCCCCGACGGTCCTAGCGAACCTGAGGTAGAACTTGAGGAAGAGTTCGAGCCCGTAGGCCGAGTCGCCTCGGGTAGTTTGGCATCCACCTCTCGTCGAGGTCGGAAGTTAGACAAGTTTGGGCCCTCGACCATGACGCCCGAGGGGCTTCAATCCCTTATTACCCAGTTTAACCTGCCTGGGGAGTACGCCTACTTCATACCTTCGGGCAGTTTCCCTTGGGAGCACGGGCCTTATGAGATCGTGATATTCCGGGAGCAGCTCACTGCGGGGTTGCGCCTGCCTTTCCACCCTCTCCTTGTCGAGGTCATGAACCACTTCGGCGTTACTGTCAGCCAGCTTCCCCCGAACTCCATTCGTAACTTGGTGGGGACAATCTCCCTATTTTGCGAACAGGGATTTCCTTTACACTTGGAGATCTTCTCTTCCATTTTGATGCTTAAGAAGCAAGTGGGTCCCCTTCCCGGGTGTAGGCAGGCGTATTACCTGTTTCCTCGCCCGGGTTTTAAGCTTTTACATGAACTTCCCAACAAGGTCCCGGCGTGGAAGCGGGACTACTTCGGGGTGCAAAGTGTATTGGGGTGGCCGTTTCAGACCGGGTGGGGAATGGCCGCCCCTGACTTCGGTGTTACGCTTGATAAAGAGACGGTAAAGGGCCTTCGGCAATGGGCGCGACTTGGGCTAAAATGCCATCAGTATCTGATGTAGGTCAAGCTCATTGCGGCCGGCCTGAGTTCGGGTAGGTTCCTTACACAGAGGTTTTTTGTTTTTGTTGTTCTTTTGTTTTTTCTGATGCCGAACTCTTTTTGCAGGTGTGATGGACTCAGAAAGGACTCGTGGTGGGCACTTGTTTCAAGGCATGAAGAGGAGGAAGCGAGTCGCCAAACGAACTCGTGCCGAGCTGCCCCAGGATGCGGAGCCCGAGGTACCAAACTACCCGTCAGAGGATCCGCCCAGGGAGCTCGAGATGGCTCCTCCAATGCAAGAAGCGGCAGAGGCCCCTTATGCTAAGACTACTTACACGGGGGCTCCCGCTTACTCTGTGTCTGCTTACACAGGGAGCTTGGGAGCCCAAGGGGAATTCAGGAGTGTGTTGTCGTCGAACCACGCTCTTCAGAAGAGTAGGGAGGCCATTTACCCCAAGGAGGTCGCAGCGTAGACCGATCTCCCTTTCAACCAGGTGGCCTATCGTGCTGTCACTCATGCCATGGTGGTAATCAGGATTTTTTGTCAAGCTCTTTTGCTTTTATCCCTCTTGCTGTCGTTCTTCTGATCACTTGTTCTTTCCTTTTGGTAGGTGAACTCTTCTATCCATGCCTTGGCAGCCCAGGTGTAAAGGAGCTCGAGGCAGGTGCGAGCTGCCGAAGGGGCTCTCCGTGCTACCGAGACGACATCCCGAGCTACTGAGGCGGCTCCTCGCGCTGCTGAGGCGGTTGCTCACGTTGCACAGACCAGGCAGGCGAGGTCTCAGAGAGAAGTCAAGGCCATGGGAGTAGTGGTGAAGCACATGGCGAACCTGAGGCTGGATCTGCAGCATCAGGTTGAATACCTTCAGGAGGACATTAGGGAAATGATGCATATCTTTTCTTAAGGCATCGAAGATGCCAAGAAGAAGGCCGTCAATGAGTACATCGCCTCGCCGCGCTTTGATGACCTGATGGTGGACTCGTACAGAAGGGGTTTTAAACTAAGCCGGTGGATGATCCGGAACACGTACCCCGAGCTCGATATCAGTGCCATATCCACTTCGCGCATAACTCAGGAGATGGCCAATGCTGTTGATGGTGAGCCAGATTCCAAGGGCGAGGCAGGACCTTCGGGTATCGTTGAAGTGCCTTCTGATAATGAAGAAGTAGCTCTGGGCCTGTGAAACGTAAAATTTTTTTTTTTGTTTGAAATGTCCACTCCCTTATTTTGAAATGGAATGACTTTTCTCTTTGGTTAAGTGTTGGTTGTTCTTTCTCCCAAACTGACCGTATTTGCCGAACTGACCATATGCCTGATCTGTTTCTTGCCCGGGTTACTGCACTCGCACGGCCTATTTTGGTGTTAATACTTAGTCTCTGAGATGCCGATGTCCCTGTTAATACTTAGTCTCTGGTAGCGATTTTGTCCACTTCGTTTGATGGACTATAGGTAGTATTGCCTTAAGTTGACGATGTTCCACGCTCGGGGTACTTGTTTGCCCTCTAAGGTTTCGAGCTCGTATGCCCCCCCGAGCGCTCTCTTTACTCTGTAGGGCCCTTCCCAATTTGGTCCAAGTTTGCCCACGCCGGGTTCGGGTACCATGATCTTACGGAGAACCAGGTTGCCAACGCGGAA